TGCTTGTGTTGGTGGTGAGCCCGAACTTGGCCGCTGCCGAGGCCAGAGCACTCATGCAACTCATCCTCGCTGGGTGCAAACAGAGCACAGTCGTCAGCAAACAGCAAAATACGGACAGTTGTCTCACAGACTAGGATCCTCACACCGAAACACTATCGTTGGCGGCATCAAGTTTCGGATTTGTGTCACCATGGCCAGCCACAGGACGCATGTGCTCACAGCGGGATCAAAGGGGCTTGCCATGCACCACCTACAGGTCCAACCCACACTCCATAGCCAGTGTAAACCCGAAGCAATAACACTGGGAGGCATGTGGATGGGAGCCAAGTTTCATCAACGCAGCCGGACCACGCTCCTTCACATGTGAACACCAGCACCCTGTATTTGGGAATCAATTGCTTTGGGGGTGGCTGGACCGTAATCCGCTCCCCCGTGGCTGTTCCCACGCATGTCGCGGATTTTTGAATCACCGTGAGCTAGATACTACTTTTGCTTCAGCGTACTGTCTTATCAGTGTTTGTGTGAATTGTGCACCGATATCATTCTTTTGGTGTATTTTCTAAGCGGTGCAAATTTGATGGCTATTTTTGGCTAGTTCCGGAGATCTCATTGATTTGCCCTACTGCCATCTCTGTCCGCCATGTTGGATTTGCTCTAGCTTGTGATACGGTCTCAAGCTATTTGTGGTTCCAGTTCGAAAGTTGTGGGAAATAAAGCTCATGCACTTCGATGCTTCGGCTGTGATCTTTTGTTCCATATTTCGTGTATTGGTTTATCCGTTAACGTGTTTCAAAAAGCTCGCGACATCTGACATTGGTTTTTTAAGTTACATGTGATAAATGTCGCCGTGCAAGACATCAGAACACAGCGACCGACAACAACTACGGGAAAATTTCTCTTTCAGACAGAAACAAACCGTTCATCACGTGGGATCAAACGCCCATGTGGAAGTACCTCTCTCACCTCGTCTTCTCTTGTCACTCCTCGATCTGCACCATCAGCAGTGTTCTCGATCCCGGCCGAGCCTCAGGTTCAATGTTCCCCACCGATGGAAGACCCAGACTCAGAACCTACGAAATGACGCTCCAGTGAACGGTCCGTGAATTTCTCAGAGCCTGTCTGTGAACTTCTAAACACCGAGGATCCATGGACCACACGGAAGTGCAAGGGCCCACGTAATCGAGTTCAGACATCACCTTGTGATAAATAATAACCCAATCAATCAATCGCCTCTAGTTCTGTTCGCACAGGCGCAGCACTGATTTCGCTGAGGCGTCATGATCTCCTGGTCTTCCACGTACCAGAGTAAAAAGATAAAAACCCTCAGATAAGTTATGATCACGATGTTGAGTTCCTCCAGGGGCTCATCGATAGACACTTGGATGTGGGCGAAGACAGTGTGTCGATTAATCAAGTAATCCGACTTGGCCAGAAAACTTACTAATCATGTCGACCGCTGACAATCACCTTTGCAAAACCCAATGTGCTGCAGCTTATACTGTCTCGTCTGTCAAGGCTGAAAGGCACAAAAGTTCACATCCGCCGAGGCTTAAAACCCGAAAACAGGGATAGTTTGAAGACTGTGGTCATTGAGCTCAAACGTCGTACAAAGGAAGGTGAGACTGACATACAAACTGTAATTTTTCGCGTAATCACGAAGGGTGCATGAACCCTTATCAAGCGGTTGCTCAACCTCCAGGCACGTCCCGCAGTACCTCTCGGGAACTCCGTGTAGCCAACGTGTGCAGCCTAATGGACAAACATGATGAACTGTGCCGCTTCGCTGTCGCGTAGAGGCCGGACGTTCTAAAACTTGCAGAGACTTGGCGGAACTCCGATGTCATACCCCAAGAAGTCGTGTTGTCAGGATACTCTTGTTTCCGATGCGACCGATGATGTTCGGTTGTACATAAAATCGTCCATTTCTGGCAAACTTACCAGAACCTATCGGAGCAAGGATAGTTTATGCGAGCAATTGTGGTGCTCAATCCGCCTCACGCGTGCAGAACTAACAGTGGGGGTTATCTACCGGAGCCCATAAACGGTTGTTGCGATTGGCTACCACATGTACAGAAGTACATGAGCCGCCCTCAGTTCTTACTGATGGGGGATTTAAATGTACCTAAGACCTTTTGGCCAGACGTTCGACTTCTTCCTGATCATAGCAATGTAGAAGCTCAATTCGCTAAAATGACTATTGAAATCGGGGCAACGCAACATGTAATCCAACCGACTCGCGTAAATCCGCACTCCGCATCTTGTCTGAACCTAATGTTTACGAGCTGCGAGCAGAAGCTGAACGAGATCAGAGTCCGCAAACCTCTTGCGAACAGTGACCACTGCTTCATCGTGGCAAGCATAGAACTGTCGTTACGGAATTACGACCGACGGAAGCCGACATTCAACTATTGGAAGACGGATTTCAACGGGCTCGTCCAAACGGCAAGTCAGACTGATTGGACACTACCACAGGATGCGTCGCTTGAGGACTGTTGGTCATTAAGGAAGGGGAAAATTAACTCGATGTGTGTCCGGTTCGTTCCGTTGAAGTATTCAAAAATCGGACCTGTCAAAGCGCATTGGTTTGATACGGAATATAGACAGTTAGCGCGACGGCGTCGTAAAGTTTGGGATATGCACATCAGCTCGGGTTGTGATGAAGGTTACACGGTGTACAAGAAACAGCGTAACTTATGTAACGCCGCAAAGATCAAGAAACGCTGGCAGTTTGAAGAGAAGCTACCATCCTCGACCACAACTGCACCCAAAAGAATATTTGCCTACTTGAAACTTCAACTGAAACCTCGGGGCGACATACCGGTCTTAGAGAGCTTCGACGGACAGACGCTCATTTCAAGCGCGGAGCGCGCGGACGCCTTGGCTGCGCACTTCCTCACTGTATTTTCCAGTAAACCGGTGGCTTCTCCAGTAGCGGCATAGGTTGCGCCAGTCTTGCTCGAAGTGCATCAGCTACTCGTCAACCTCGACGGTGCAAAGCCCCCCGGACCAGACGGACTTCACCCACTAATACTCAAGTCCCTATCGATTATCATCACACCAGCTGCGACAAACTTATCAATAAATCCCTCTTTGAAGGATCTGTCCCCAACGACTGGAAATGTTCGGCAGTGAGACCGCTTCCCAAGGAGGAGGTAGTGGGTAATAGACAGGTTAACACTTTGTCAGCAAGCATATCAAGCGAAGAAACACAGGGGATGTCAAACAACAGAAAATCACATGAAATGATATCATCAATTAAATATATATGTTAAAGCATACGCCTATGCCGACATAACTTCTTTCTAAACTAGAATATGAAAAAAGTTGGTTAGCAACGAATCCGTGATAACTGAAAAAGGTCCAGATGTTACTCAAAAATGCTACAAATGCAATTAAGTTATCAAAGATAATCACAAGTAGTGTAAGCAATATTTGCCAGTTTAGTTGGAGTATGCAAGTACGCAGAACAAGCCAAGTAAATTGGAATGAAATTTATCCGGCTTCAAAAGACCTAGTATAAATGTAACTTGGTTCAGCCCAACTGAATTGGATACGTACATTCCTAATTCAACGCTACGTGAATGTGCGAGTTCGTGGCGCTTTTTCTGACCAGATAACGTTGCGCCTCTGTGTCTCGTGAGACTCGGTACTGAGACGATGGCGATTTCAGGTGTCCATAAATGAAATCACGGGTATGCTATCCTAAGCATTTATATTACGTGTGGACGATTTCACGTTTTGGTGGGCAAACAAAATCTTAGAAGACCACATAGCACAGCAGAAGAGTGTGACTAGTCAGCACAGAACAGACTAGAATTTAACGATGTCCAATGAAAAATAATGAACAAACGACATCAGAGCACCTAGGAATATGGGCTAGGAGAATACGTTTTGCAGCGCATTTTCGATGAAAGTGATATTGGGTGCTTGTGCGTGGCAACCTGGGTTGTCCAGTCAGGTCGAGAAAGTAGTAAAATGTTAACGAGTACTTGAAATTCATGAGGAGGACGTTTGGCCAATTCGGTCCAAGTTTCTCCTGGCAAATGCTCAGCGCTTACCTGAGGCTACATGAGGACAAAACATGACTCCGCTACTTTGAGAATCCCATGAGTAGGTTGGTTAAACATGGTAAGGGCTTGCTTCACTTCACTTCGTAGTTTAGGTTAAAGATTCTGAGGGTTTTTAGGAAACAGTTTCGTCGTCTACGACGCGATAGTACATTGGCGTATCGAACCGTCAAGGATCCTAACACCTCTGCCAACCTTCATTGAAACTTACTTACAAACCCATACTGAGAGATCACCATTTGGTATTGTCCATACAATAGAGCCGGTTGGAGTGTTATCAGAAAGTTCTCTGTATTCGTGTATCTATACAGTGGAACTTGCTTTCACCATGTGTCATCTGTGCTCTAATATCATCCGAACATTAACCTTGACTTGATGGAGCCTTACACCATAGGTAGTACATAACCTAACCCAAGCTAATGGGACACGGAACAACGTAACCACAGTGCGTGTGTACGTGACATTTACGGTGAGTCAAGCGGTACGCGATTTTCCTTGATGCATTCATTTTTAGCTTCATCCTTTTCTCACGGAAAATGTTAAGCGTTTGCTTATTTGTCTGTGTTTAATTCATCGTATCATTATTCTATTTCTACTGTCTTCCGGTAACCCCTTTCTAAGACAATTTTTCGCCAGAGATAGTAGACATTTTTCCTTTTGTGCTGTGAGCAATCTAAGCTTGATTGGGGCTGTGTATAGCGGAATAACACAAATAGTGAGTAATTCGAACACGTATTGTTTAGCTGAACGATCTTTGTGAGTTGTGCATTGTTGGACCGATGAAAGCAGCTGTTCCACTGATCAGCACATATCCAGAGGTGGAGGAGAGTTTAGTCCTACCAAAATTTTCATAAACCAACTGGCATTTTGCCAGTCTGCAAAAAAGATGGACAATTTCGTCGAATTGTGGATGAATGATGCCGGCTAGCTTACCTTCCTCCTTATCTTGTCCATATTTTTGTATGTATGCAACACATAATAGATTTGCATACCGCGGAGCTTCGAAGTACGACAAGTATCGCACTGCTAAGCCGGCCGACGATGGAGGGAATATACATTGAAAGCCTCCGGCACGCTCTAACTCGTCCACCATTGCTGTGAGAATCCGCACATCAGACGGAGTCAAAGTGGTGAGGATATCCGCTGTGGCGACGCTCAGCCTAACACGGGGGAGCGTGCCCTGCATTCTCGTCGGAGTTTGGCTTTCCGATCCACAGCGAGAAGTGGATGACCGAACTTTGGTTCTACCTTGCGAACTGCTGGATGAAGAACCTGTGGGACCGTAAATTCAATGAAAGTATTTGCGGACTTCGTATTGCAAAATACGTTGCGCTATTTGTATTCTTGTTATAAGTGCTCACGATAGCGACTTTTTGAAACATAACACAACCAATGACACAGAGATTGCTACTCAACTCCCAACATAACCAAACTACAAAACTTCGTTTTTAAAGCGCGACTAGTTGAAATTACACCTAGTTTCTCATTTTAAGGAAGGATAAGTTATGAAAAATTCGGTGTTATGTAGGACAGTCAATTAGCCCAGGCCAACAAACTTCATTAATGTCAGTCAATTTAACTCATGCAGCATTTAACTCAAGCAGCATCAACACCAGTTTTGAGCGTAATTTTAAGACCCACCGCTAGAGTAACATCATGAAAACTACAGTCGGGTAACGTTTTATTACAAAAAGGTTCCACTCACGCAGAATGGTGTTGCCAGAAGTTGTTTTGTGTGTGAGCTTTTCTCTTGTAACAACCGGAGGCTTCGGATTGACCAGATTGCTTCCCGGTTGAAAGCGGTGACTCTTCAAGTCTGGTGAAGATGGTCCTATTCCCATGGAACGAGCAGTCCTATTGGATGAGTTATTCACCTCTTCCTTACTGTTTCGATGTTGCCAACCTCCTACCGAGCGGACCGAACTAACGCCGCTCAACTTTCCACTAGAGGAGGAGACTGTACTCACTGAGCCATCTTGATCTCCGTCCTCGTCAACATAAAACGCAGAAGACTTATTTGGTCCAGACTTAGGCCGAATGGCAGACTTTTGGCGATTATTGGTGCCCGCACTAGCTGATCTTTCCCGAACACTTCCGTTGGAACTCACACGACTGTGGCATCGACTGGGTGCTCTGGGTAACTCATACCGAGTGGCACGCATGACGTAATATCTCCGTTTCTCCTTCTCATCCTCACTGAGCTGTGTGATGTGCAGTCTCCTGTCCATCAACCACTCATGACTGGGGCCCTTTGGTTTCTGAAGGCATTGGGGCATATAGCACTCCTGATTTCCACAGCTGTTTACCTTACGATCAGTGGTGGTGGCTTCCTCATTCAACGAGCCGCTACTTCCAAATGGTGAGGTAATCGGAGCGTTCGAAATGTTTGGAGAATGGAAGTGTAACAGTGAGGGGAAGATAGAGGTAAAGTGCGATTCACTCGGCTCGGGGTGACGCACTTTGGCCAGACACGTTGGAACAACTGTGTTGCAGTTGACTTCTGAGAATTCCGGTAGACGTAGGCCACAGAGGTTCAACATATCTTTCACCACGGTACCTTTTACTTTTGCGTCCAGCGGAGAATCGGAATGCATACTAAAGGGTTTGGAATGAAACCGGAATAATTTCACACATACTGTTTAACAAATTGCCCACGGAATAGAAATATTTTTAACTTTGCCAAAAGTAGCCTGTTACATAAAAAAGAATAATGAAAAATAATGTGTCATCTGTACGCCGTAACGGCGCTTCGCTGTCACGCGACCACCATCAGTCGCGCGCGGGCTGAGCATACCGAGAGGAGGCCCACCCCTAAGCAGATTCGAACCGAGGACCTAATATTTGCAAACCATGCGTTCAGACCCCCGGGTCACCGGCCGACTACTACATAATCAGGTAAGAACGTGCTATTTCATAGATGCTGAAGAACATGCCGTGCTACAAATGTCGGCGTCGGCTGGTGGCCGAGTGGTCTGCACCTTTGCTTTGCAACCATAAGGTCACCGGTTCGAATCCGCGTAGGGGTGGGCGTTCTCGCATTATACTCAGCCCGCGCGCGACTGGTGGTGGTCGCGCGGCAGCGAAGCGCCGTTGGCGTACAGCTGACACATTATTATTATTATTTACAAATGTCGGCACTGAGTTCCCTAAATGTTGCGCAGTTTCAATTATGGTCTTCAGTGTATAAATGTACCAAATTTGTGTATACTTATCAACAACGCTTGACCATAGGGAGTGATCATCAGACAAGGATATTTTGTTTATTCTAAAGGGTCCTGGAAGGAGATTGCGAACGGTTAAGGAGGAACCTGCCTCAGTACAATACGTCGATTGTAATACATCAACTATAAGTGTCTCCATGTTGCCTCGTCGTCTGCATAGAAGTCCTAGTTACACTACTATTATTTAGCAGCTTATCCGCTAGATAAATGCTCGAGCAGACAATTCACCTATCGTTTGATAATTGTAGTTTTACCCCCACCATCCTGCGGGAGTTGTCAAGCAACTGATCTTTTACCCGACATAAAGCATTGTTCATTTTTCACTGTCTAAAACAAGGGTATTAAATTTTTGTCCATGAATGGGAACGATGTGTTCTATGCGCCAACGCTCACAGGAAGCAGTTACGGCGGAGGACGGCTGTGAAAAATTAATTTCGGATGACGTAGCCTACCCGCAATAGTACCCGAATTTGTCGAGATAAAAATGAGACATATTATTCTCCTCTGAAGAAGGCATGATCAAATTGCTCCTGAAAGTAGTGTCTTGAAGTAAGTACTCACAGTAACATGTGCAAATTCTTCAGTGTTGAACAATTCAAGTACATGGGTTGACTTGCAATTTTTCTTTAAAACATTGTCATTAAGCTATCAGTTCGGAAGGCAATTCGACTGCCATGATTGTGTTGAATAACTATCCTGAGTAACCGCTACCATTACCTCGAATAAGATCCCATCGCTGTCCTTAACTCAATTCAGTGAATACAGTTTAAGGAATAGACGAAAGCGATAGGATTCCTTCATTGCGAATAAGTTACTAGCCGCAGCAAGTTAAGTATAATCGAGGGAGAACAGTTCTCTTGATGAATCGCAAGTGCTGATGCTTCACACTCATTCCACTTAATCACGACTAACTCATTCGTTTCTGTAAACGTTGCCAATGTGGTGCCTTCCATGTATACATGCCCAAACCGAGACAGTTTACGAATCCGACTGACAACTGAGTGGTGATGGGGAAGTATATCAATCTAATGAGTTTTGAAATGACTTCTCCTTCCATAATGCAGCAGTAATGCTCACGTGAGACCCATGCCAAGTTAATAGGTCTAGTGACGCAGTGCTTACCGTAATTTTCCTCTTCTAGTAACGAGGGCGCAGTGCCACATACTACTTACAATGTCGGAATTTTGCATTAAGATACAAAGTTCCAGTAATGTGGAAGATTGGTTGATTTCTGAATCTGAGCTGCCAAGAAACCTCTAAAACCGCAGTACATGGGAAAAGCTTGCCAAAACGCTGACAAGGAAAGTGTTTAAACAATGGTATGTGTAAAGTAATCGAAAAATATCCACAATCGTGATGCGGCCACTTGCTTGTTCTGACGGGAAAAGCACAATTGTTTCACTCACCTAGGAGAAACGTTGACTTCCAACAACCAAGGTTGTAGGTTTTCGTCTAGGAAAATGTCGAAACCAAACACTTCATGCACAGAACAGCTGTGATTGCAGTAGGAGTTGATCGCTGCATTGAATGCAGCCTCAGTGCTAATCGCAGTTTTTACAACCACGTCCTTTATACTTGACCAAATTGGAGTGGGCGAAATCCCTTGGGCTTTGAAGTAGGCCCACAGCGCTCGCAGGCTCCTGGATGTCGGGTACGTTTAGTATAACAAAGCGTGAAATGAATAAAAATGAAGGTTTGTCAGACGCGATGATTATTCGGAAGTGTGCGACCAATCGACACAAAAGTCGTCTACACTTTAACCACTCCGGTGGCAAAGTGAAGAACTCGTGTAGAACATAAGCGGTTAGCAACACATTGCAGGAATGTATTGGCTTAAATTGACTCTATAAGCAGTATGTTCCATTAAATGATTCAGCATTCTGAAATATAAAACAGTTAGTCGGAGTTTCCTAGAGAACACAAATTCTAGATATTCCTCATATGTAAACCCACCGCCACACTCCATTTGAGCCGACGACCATATTGTTGTTTGATGAAGATTAAACCTGTCAGTTGAACAGTGTCCGATATTGACTAGTTTCAGCAATTCAGTGAGTACTTGGGTTTTCATAAACTGGTAACTGCGGTGACACTGGAGTGTGGACACAGATAGCATAAAATTTGCGAACTTGCAGAGCTAGGCAAATGAAGTTAAAGCGTCAGTGTCGGATGAATGCCAGTCGTCCAAGTATGAGTGATTGCGTGCCGCACCCGGACTGGTGTTCAGAGTAGGAACAGAACGAAGGTATCGGTAACCCACATCAAAGTGACATTGAGAAGTTGCTCTCCGAACCTATGGTTTTAATGCGACCATCATGATTGACCGAGACTTATCTTAACGAAAATATGTATTAATCAACAACATCTATGGCACCATAGGGTGGCTAGCCGAACAACCTCCTCGTGGTGCCAGCTGGGTGGTTCCGGTGCACCCCATTCCAGCGAATAATTTGGCGGCAATGTTTCAGGACGTGGTGGGTTTTCGCCTGGCAAACATTCTCCCCATAAAAAGCCACAAATGTCCGTTTGACAACACTGTGACGTGGCGAATGTGACTCGCCACCAACTAAATTCACTCCTCCGTGGATATCTGGATAATTATATCCAATCCACGGATATCAATCGTCTATCCTTACATAGCTGACGCTATCAAACAGTCACACGTACAACAGCACACTTACAAGCACAAGCTACAAAGCCACACGTATAGACAATTACATACACATCCATACATACTTACACAATTATGGCAATTATGCTTTATTTTTTACATTTCTGTTCACACTTCAGTATCATAACGTGATCATGCCTCTCGTCGTCCAGAATAAAAAATTTATTTATTTATTTATATTTCGAGTTACGGCGGAATGCCACCATGTCTATTTGTATCAAGCCTATACGCATAATGCACTGATTTGTTGTGACATGTTCCATAAAACTTGCAACTCCCAAGGATCTGCAGGTGACAGCGCAACGGAAATTTTGTTATGAAACGGTTAACCCAGCAACAGGATTACAACAGCTTTGCATGAATTTGGTGCATCGCGAAACACAGCAGTGCTTCATGATGCGAATAACGAAAACGATTTGTGAGAGACAGAAGATAAACAAACAATTTATGTATTCATTGATGTGGCAAACAACGGCGCAAGGAAACGGCGTTCCGCAAAATAAGGTTACTTGTTGACAGCACGAACTCTGTGTTCATAGGTTTTAGCGCTTACAGCAGTGAATCTGACAGGGTCCTGGATGGATTCTTTATTATGCGTCAAACATCACCATCAGTTCATCCTAGGTTTCTTTTTAACGAGACACATTTTCGGTAGTTTTGGTATTTCGAGTTTGGTAACGAAAGATGTAAATAACGCTGTTAAACCTGTTAGAATATTGTGTGATATCGAAAACTTGAGTTCCAGTGAGACATTGAATTTCGGCACAAGTATTCTGGTAATATACGCTTCAGAGAATCACTCTATTACTCTACCACGTAGAGCGTTGAGGCCAAAGGGGTGCACCACAGTACGCACAAAACGCAAGGACAGTCTGGAAACTGGTGAGATGCGCGATGACCAGTATAGATGACTCAAGTGAACTTGATGATCCAGCTCTGAGGCAGGTTACACTTGAGTCAACACCAGTTGAAGCTCAGCATGGATCGCTTATTTTCCTCAACAAAATTGTGCAACCTTCCAATGGCTATGATGATCAAACTTGATCTGTCTCCTAAGGTATTAACAGCCGTGATCGCATTCCCATTGCGTAACTAATGCCCTCAAATTCACAGTGTTGTATAATGCATACGTGATGGGTAGGCGGAATATCTTACGTATTTATGGATGATAGATCCATCGAAATAGATACTTGTTTTACGGATCCGCAGTGTAAACTATTCAGTATAATGAATAGCAAACCTAGCTAAGTGAGTCGAGCGACTAAGTCTAGTGAAAGGGCATTGATGATGAGAATCGACTACGCACTGGAAGAATCTCGTAATGCTACGTTTCCCCTTTGATGCAGAAGTGCAACAACTGTTCGTTGGTTCATACATCGATGCTTGGGTGTGGAACAGGTGCAATCCCAATAGCCTGTATCTTCCGCACACTTTGCGCGTGGATGTCTATTCTTACCGCTGAACGTCAGTGTTAGGGCAACGATTGACAGCTATTGCGGGTGCTTCACCTCAAACTAGCAATTATGTTCAAAAAACCGAAGCAGTGTAGACTCAGATACCAAGAACTGTCTACGGTAATAACACTATGAAATAGGAAACTCCTAGAGAAGTACGCAGGGCTAACAGTTTTACGATGAAATGACCAACTGGATAGAGCAAATACTAGTTGTCCAATTACATAAAGGAAGAGTGCAAAAATTCGAAGGCACAAGGGTTGCTGACGTCGCAAGCGAGTACTGCCGGAGCAATTCACGAACCCTAAATGAGACTTCTTCTGAAGTCTTCAACCAGGAAGCTGACACTTGTAAGCCATACCGAACGTTATCTTCGCCTTATGATGCGAAAGTTGCACATCGTTGCGAATACAATGACAGAGTGATAAGAACAGATGCGTTTGTGCTGGCGTGTATCCCACGTGTGTTGAGCTCTGAACAGACTTCTATATAGGCATCGTAGCGGTCCGTGGATACTATAGATAAAATGTCTGTCATTACGCTCCTCATATAGAGACATCGTCAGCGACAAAGTTGGAGCGTGGGGATATATTGCTACTCCAAAGCGTCGGCTGTTTCATGAGTCCCTGTCATCTAACGGTCAGCTGAACCTAGTGGAAGAGACCCGTGCCTTAACTTACTTAGAGGGTAGATGAGTTTCATATTCTTGGTTAATTACACTCCAGTAAGCTTCCGAGAAAAACTCACTTAGTCGCAAAGATAAACACTAGGAAGTCTACCCGATGAAGTTTTATAACAGCGCCGTTTGTTAGAAAGAAATGTCAACGTATTACCATTAGATACCCTAGCTGAGTAGGTCAGTGTCTGTTCTAGCTAGCAACCTGGTGTTGTACATTAAAGTCGAAGTAATCCGCCTACCGGTGATCGGGGAAGAAAAGATTCGCTCAAGATGGCAGCCTTAATGCCAGTAGGCGACTGGTAATCACGAAACGAATCAAAGGATTCATCTACCTCTCACTATTGACAGGCGGCCCAAATTTGGGTTCTCGGAACTCCCCGAACTTCTATGGCAAAACGGGGTGACATTACATTATGTTATTTAGCTCACCCCATCAAAGTTAGCCTACATCGGGGAAATGAGTAACAACATGCTTCATAAATGCAGTCCAAAAAGCAAGGTTTCCCAGTACCCTGCCAGACCAGATTTAAATAGATTACGGAGTAATATGGAAATATTATGGTGTTGCTCATCCCAACACGGGCATCCCAAGACCGCGGTTTCGTCCTGATTAGGACTCATCAGTTGGAGATAGCCTGAGCTGGGCTGGAACTCAGAGCCTAGTGGCTCATGGTTGACGCCATAAGCACTATGTCACTGATATCCGCGAGCAACGCTTGGTACAGCGGAAACGAATTCAAAGTTGGACTTGGAGAATCCGCTGTGTGCTTGGGTTGCTACAAGCAACCTCTTTTGAGACCTCGGTTCACTTGAGGTGGACCTCGGTCATTCCGATCACAAGGACCGTAGGTAAAATGGAAATATTATGGTGTTACGGAGTATCGCAACTTACGGTACGGTAGTCACACCGACTGATAGGCTGAGTGTTTGCTGTTTGCTGCTCTTCATCGATCCCAACAAATACGCTGAACGGTTAGAGTAAAAAAGAGGTTTTCTTGCTATCCAATAACAGCAACAAAGAAGCCTGGTTTTTTTATGTCCAACCCATGTTGACATCCTATGTGAACAAGCTAAAAATTATCCAAATGTGATTGCTTAATAGTTACTTTTGCTGGCGTGAAGAGAGTAGCTGTGGGCCCATTAGGTTGAAACTGTGTCACTAGGCACACACACGGAATGGCCTCGGCTATCCAAGTTGGTGTGAGACGGCAGCCTGAGCACTGCTCGCGGAGCTCAATGACCTAGTGATCATGGCGCAGACTCCTAACACTATGCGTGGAGTTCCAATCCCAGCACGGCTATCTCTACCTGATGAGTCCAAACCAGGACGAAACCGTCGGTCGTGTAGTGCAGGGAGGTTAGAGAGCCACACCGAAATTGTCAATTTTGCAACTTCAGTTCGTGCGGCAATTACATGTCTTGTCAATCCCGTCATATCGTCTAATCGTAGCAGCCCTCAAGAGTGCAAACTCGCAACGCTACACTACATTATTAAGATGGCGTAGAGGACGATGACGGCCAAAGCGCTGAACAGCTAGTGTTAACAAAGGTCTAATGTATTTTTGGCTTCTATCAAACTCTAATTAAGTTGTCAACTCCATCTCAGATAACATTAGGGATTTCACAATCAATGACGAGTTAATAGCTGTCTAACTTCTCATTTGACTTGCCATTTCATGGCCACTAGCTACAATGCAGCTCCCTAAATCAAGTTGTATTTGCTTCGACACCAGTGTGCTTCATATACTAGTAAGTGCTATACTCAGTTGACGATACCTACTTTCTCAGAGAATTGCAGCTGTCCCATCAGACAACATCATTATAAAAAGATGAGTG